GAGACAGACAGACAGACAGACAGACAGACAGACAGACAGACAGACAGACAGACAGAGAAAGAAGAGGGTTGTATAGAATTGGGAGAAACAGGCTTTAATTTCATCATTTTTAGAAATTCATTATAAGGGGAAGCAAAACGTCTAGAGGAGTCAGTGTATTGGATGTATTATGATTTCCGTAGGGGTAAAGAAATTGGAACAATATCAAGCAGACATTTTTCGTTGAAGGTTTTTTTAAAAATATTTTTTTTTGTAAGGACAGGCTGGGGGTGGGGGTGGGGGTGGGACACGTATGAGTTACGAGAACGTTTATGAGGTCGTGAGAAGACCAAGACCCGCTCTACATACTGAAACCCTTCTTGACACCAAACGAACCTACTTCATTAAGCCCGACGCGTGAGCAGAAAGATAAAGCATCTCCCATGTGTATATATCATCCGTCAGATGTAACCCCATGAACATATCGACGTTGTTTTCTTTCCTCATTCTTCCTTCTCCAGCATAGCATTGTGACATTCAGTTATTGGTGTGTGTAAGGTCATGCGTCAATTCTCAACAGCAAAACTACGTTTTTGATATTTGTATATCTCCACATGAGATCAATATTTAATTTGTGAAGGCATATATCGGAAGTGGACTGTCCATTGTGGCTGTTGAGGTGGATGTTTTAAGTTGTGTAGACACTTGTCCGACAAGCTGAATATGCTGGATCGGGTCTGGGCAGAAAATCGGTTTGATCAGTATTACACATCAAGTGGAATTCGCCCAGAATTAGTTGTGTAATTCTATGCAGGTTTACTTTAATGTCTGGGTTTGACTTGTACTACGAGTCACCTGTTGTAATCCATGTAACTACAGAATTTTTGTCACACAATTACCGACAGAGGAAAACAGCAAATAACGTTACCTAAAACTCTTTTGTTGAAAAGAATGACGTTTCATGAATTTGTCTAACTTCACAATAAATGTTATATATAGGCCTATCTGGGGAACGAAATACTTATCTCCCGTGATAACTGAATCCTATTGACCTAAAAGGGAATACGCAAACCATGTCGTTCTAGTTATTGAATTGTATTCAGTCGAACTAGCGTTAGTACGGACAGCTTTTGCAAGAAGCACTGACGCCAACATACAAGGTACCTAAATCAAGGGTCCCACTTAGAGAGCATTAACTCGGTCGTCTCAATCTTCATTTCAACAAGACTTTGGATATATAAATTCAAGCAGTGGGACGTCGAATGTGTAAATATAAAAAAACATCCAGGTTAGATGGTTCAACCAAAACGTAAATCATAACTCTTTAAAAGTGTTCAGCCTCAGGGGTGTGATCGGCCGTTCTGGTTTCAGGGTGAGGGCGGTAGAACCACGACAATCACATCAGATGGCTATCTCACTGTGCTTAGAAAGTTTAAGAGACATTTCAGAAGAGGAAAACTGACATACTGTTGAGGAGACCTGGTTCAGTGAGATAGGGTCACACCCCAAACGTCTAGAGTGGCCCTTGTATGATTGGAAGAAAGGTTTGGGGAATGCCTTATAAGTCGAAAGCATACAAATTCTATTACATGTATTACCCCCCTCCCCCCCCCCCCCCCCCCAGGTTTTTGACAGACTGACTCTGTGAAAACAACCGACAAACAATCGAACAGTAAACTCAAAGTTGAATAGGATAAACTAAATAACCAAATAACCGACCAAGAAACTTGTCGCATGATTATTCAAAATTTCCAGTGGTGAATTGACTATTGGAGCTTGCATGGAGAGAAATAGGAAACATCCAAAACATGCAATCTAAATAGCCACCACCTTCACTGGGTTATCAGTTGTGTTTAAATTAGTATTTCAATGTATAAATAGTGACTATTTGAAATAGAACAATATGGTTGATTAATAAGAAGTTGCCAAGTTTTGATTTCTACTCAAGATTGGTTGAAATTTTTAAAACGTTATATTTTTCGGACATGAGAAGTGGTTTTCTTTATATTTGACTAATGTGACCTTCCCAGGTTGAATTTTCTATGTTTGAAGATTTGTTGAAATGAATCCAAATATGACCGAATTATTGTCCTTTAAATGGGTCCTGACTGTTTAAAAATATTTTTGGGATACCCGGTACAAATCCTGCAAAATCGGACAAGCATAAATACAACATAAGCGTCCCCACAGTCTGGAATGTTCTGAGGTCTTCGTTGGCACCTGGACGGGACTGTACGTCTGTGTGTCTGTAGCCTATTATGAGTGCTAGAATAATATATCTACGGCAGTTGTATCTTTACATTGTTACATCTGTTGTTCTGGCATGTGCATTATTATATAATGACAAGTTTTGCACCCAGAAGACAACGCGATGAAATTTGCAAGCACTTTTTGTTCTTGTATTTCTTGGATCGATAACCACAATATAATTTTGGAACAATGTAAAGTTGTTTTTATTGAAAAACCGTCTATATGTATTTGTATGTGCCTCGCATCAACTGATATTGACAGTCACCACAACCGTCAAGTTTTTGTTGAATGTATTGCTATGAGACTATTCGTTGGTGCATATTACCCCTTGGTTGTGGTGGCAACGTTAAGCATCGAGTACTGCTCTGCTGCGAATGTGTCCTAAGTGGACACTTCGGCTGCTTTTAGTCTTTTCTGAAGGCGTACTAATGCTCTCTCTGCAAGTTTTTAGCTTTCTGCAAGTACGTTCAGCCCATCAACCCTCATTGAAGGGCTGGGAATATGCTGGTTTGCGAGGAGGCAATTGTTTACTTTCTCGCGTTTAATTCCGGCCGCGCCTGGATCTAGTTCCACACGAAACTCTATGCATCCCCGACTGGATATTCAAAACTCTGGAGTTAATCATTTGTGGGTATAGATCTAATTAGGGATTTAACTGTAAGAGGCCTTCCGTACAGATTTTAATGACCATTGAGTATAGCCTAGTAGGCTATAATGTTCATAAAGTTAAGAGCGGTTGCTCGCTACGGAAGTCCTCCCCCGGAATTAAACGCGAGAAAGTAAATAATTACCTACGAGGCTACTGAGAAAATCGTTTAGACATGTTATTGTTTCTTCTATTTTTTACCCACTGTTATTGATAACCGCACACAAGCAACTTTGTCCATGGTTTTGTCTCCATTTATATTGTATTATTATATATCAATACTTTTTGAAATGTAATGGAAAGTACAACGGATTCTTAAGCTTCGTTTATTCCCTTCCATTTACATTGCATTTTACTTTCTTAACAGCC